AGAATGACAGGTTGCTATGACATTCACTGACCACTAGGGGACAGATGCTCAACACAAGAGCTGCCCCCAGCCCACAGGCCCCGACCTGCAGCTGCAGGGGAAGGGGCTGGCAAGCAGATGGCACCAGGCCAGCTAAGGCGGGGCCAAGCAGGGGCCCTAACACCCCACTGGTCACCCCACAGATCAGCCCTCATCACCAGCCAGCCTAGGGACTCTACCCATGCACGAATTTTGTGCACCAGGACTGTAGTAATTAATAATAAACTAGAACAACAACAACAATAGTCTGTAATAAAAGTTATGTGAATGTGCTCTCTTTCCCAAATATCTTATTGTACGGTACTCACCCTTCTTGTAATGACATGAGATGATACCAGTGTGGTTAGAGGAAGTGAGGTTAGTGGTATGGGGATTATGATGTAACTTTAGCTACTATTGACATTCTAACAATCCATCTGAAGGAGGATCATCTGCTTTGGTGAACCTGGATCACCAAAGCAATGACAAATGTTCATAGTTGTATGCGCAGGTACTATTTTGGGACCAAGGTTGACCTTGAGTAACTGAAACTGTGGAAAGTGAAAAGATGGATTAGAGGAGTGGGCTGGCCCAACCACAGGCGGTTCCTGAACCTAAAATACATGAGCTCCTCACCTTCTGTGCACAGCTTTGTAGCTGAGCCAAGGCCCAGGACAGCCCTGTTGACCTCCTATTATACCTGTTTCCAACCACCTAGAACTTCTGTTAATCTTCGCAGCATGTGTTAAAAAAAGAAAGAACAATTCTATATCAACTAAAAAATACAGCGGGAAAGGGAATGGGATGCAGGAATAATAGCATGACTTTCTATTTTACAAAGCAAATTTACCTCCAAGAAAATTTGGAGAGCTGTGTTATTCATCTACATAAATATAATAATTCAAATGTACCTGAACTCTTTACTTGTGTGTACACCTTTCATTTCAATACCAAATTGTCTATCAGATTTCTACTCTTACAACTTTGATGTCATTGGGCTTCAAAACGGAGTATGACTAAGCAACGTACAGTACGCTACTGAAGACAATGCGTACTATTTGAAAGCACAGAACCACAATCCAAAACAAGTAAGAGGGTACAATGCATCAATATTTATGGGACGGGGCAGGGCAATATTTTATTATAGTCAATTAATTTTTTCCCAGAAAGGAGGACAGAATTAATATTTTAAATAGTGTAATATAAAAATATGACTAGTACAGTAATACTGTTACTACTAAAAATGGAACTATTACTTATTTAATAAGATGGTCACTTGCTTCTAGCCAGTATCACAATTCGCTTGACAGAGCTGAGGTTCCCGTGAGCAGGTTTTTCTTTGCTGATCTCCCTGGGCTTGCCATTCCCGTCTCCCACATCGCTGGATGCAGCTTGCTTTCACAGATGAACACTGTGGTAGGCTAACACAAAGAAATGCCACAGAACCAAAAAAAAAAAAACCCTATAATTAAGCAGCATTTTCAAGGGGGGGGGGGGACTTTTCTAATAAAAATGCTCAAGGAAGATGTCTTTGAAGACTAGATATTCAAGTCAGCCTTAAAATATCACTTCCTATAGTAAGGAAAATTCTTTTCATGAGACTTGACTTTCTATGTAATCCAGAGTCTGGTTCTTTTTTTATAAACCTGAATAGAACGGATTATACTAGAGATTCAAAAGGCTTTTTATTAGCCATCAACAACTTGAAGATTATTGGGTTACATTTCAGGTTATTTAGAATAAGATATTTTTTTAAAATATGGAAACTGACGTGGGGTCATATCATATTAGAACTGTCTCAGTTCATTTTAAGTCAATATATTGAATATTATGTTCACTTAAAAATGTTTGTTGGCAAACTCTTTATTAATATCAAGTAGAAAGAGTTTATATTTTTATTATGCCAAGGAGTAATTTAAATAATCATGTCACATAGTGTAATACATTATTAACAGGCAACGTTGCCTCTTATCAAAGGGAAACAAACAATTGTACTAGGCTCAAAATTTTTGTGAAAAAAAATATTTAAGAAAGTAAGCCATAAATGTAATTAAACCCCATTGAAATTAATTCTTGGGGAAGCAGCTATTATTCTGACCATCAACATTGTCGTAAGAGTAAACAGTTTAACTTTATAGGGTTATTTAGTAATCCTGCTGGGAATGATTCTCATCATTTTAAGCACAAAGACTCTGTACTTCTCTCTTTAGATTCAGAATAATAGGTCTAGAATAGGGGTGTCGAACTCAATCAGAGAAGGGGCCAAAATCTAAAATCCAGCTTAAATCGCGGGCCGAATGGTTTACTGAACAGTCATAAACTGTCATTGTGATGGAAACGCAGCGGAGTGCAGTGATGACAGCGCGGTGCGGGCCACATTGCAAGGCCTGGCGGGACGGATTTGGCCTGCGGGCCTTGTGTTTGACACATGTGGTCTAGAAGATGGGAAACCCAAATTATACTGTTTTTTTCATTCCATGAAAGTGGATTCCCTTCTCTGTTCTTCAGTAGTGAACTAATATGATTGTTGTCCATAAATATTATAAACATCAACTAACAATTTTTGGAAAGTTTTTTAGCCTTTTTGACCATTTGTGACATCGATAATGACAGGATTCTTGGCCTGGCCGGTGTGGCTCAGTTAGATGGGCATCATCCCATGCACCAAAGGTCGCTGGTTCAATCCCCGATCAGGCCACATGCTAGGGTTGGAGGCTCTATCCCTAGTAGGAGGCATGCAGGAGGCAACTGATGGCAATTGATAGATGTTGCACTCTCTCTTCAATATTTCTCTATCTCTCCCTCTCCCTTCCTATATCTCTAAAAAAAATCAATTAAAAATACTTTTAAAAAAATTTAAATAGTAATAATAATGGCAGGATTGTTTCCAAACCACAATTTTTCTAACTCTAACATATTTTTGCACATCATTGTTTCTTCCTCAATTTATTTTTAATATTTGTTCTGAATTATGACAGGCATGTTTATTATAGGGAACTTAAATAATAAAAGGAAAAACTATAATTCTGATAATTTTTTTCCTCCAGAATTCTGATGAAATAATTTCAGTCAGAACAAGGTGTTTCACCTCTTTATTTCAATGCTAAGAAAATATGGTTAAAATTATTCACTCAAGCCCTAACCGGTTTGGCTCAGTGGATAGAGCATTGGCCCGTGGATCGGTTCTGGTCAAGGGCATGTACCTTGGTTGTGGGCACATACCTAGTAGGGAGTATGCAGGAGGCAGCTGATCAATGTTTCTCTCTCATCAATGTTCCTAATTCTCTATCCCTCTCCCATCCTCTCTATAAAAAATCAATAAAATATATTTAAAAAATAAATAATTCACTCAAGTTTTTGGTAAACTTGGTTAATATTATTAATTGCACCTTCTGTCTTTACTGGAAGAACAATAGAGATATTGCTTCACAGGTAATGTTAAATTCAGAAAACTAAAAGGTGGTATGATTTCACATTCTCATCACACCTCCTTCCCTGTCACCCCCGCCCCAGGTAGCCCGCAAGAGGTCGCAGCCCATTGCCGATGCCCACCAAGTTTCACACCACCCCCTGGTGGTCAGCACGCATCATAGCGAGCGGTCAAACTACCGGTTCAATTACACGCCCAAGGGAACAATTTGCATATTAGGCTTTTAATGTGGTTTTTTTTATTAAAAATACTGTTCACTGCACATGCATCAGAATGGATGGAGAGGATGGAAAATAGGAAGTGTTGGTAAAGGATGCGGAGCAACAGGAATGCTCATACATTGCTGGAAGGAGTAGAAAACGGTGCAACCATTCTTAAGCCAGCAATTCCACTCCTAGGAATAAACTCCAACACAAGTGCATGCAAATGCTTACGAAGAGGCATACTTTTACCAAAAGTGGCACTATTTACAATAGTTCTAACTAGAAAAGACACAGATGCTCATCAACAGTAGGATGGATAAGCTTAATGAGTTAGGGTCCCATGCAGCAAGAAAAATGACTCTACAAACTATATGAAGGAATTTCATAAAAATAATTTTGATTACTACAGAGCTAGATTTTTTAAAGCACTTACTGTATTACTTTTATGTAAAGCATAAAAAGAGGCAAAACTCTCTAGTAGAGGTCAAGAAAGGTCAGAAGTGGGGGTTTAGTGACTAAAAGGATAGGAAGGGGGAGCTTGTGGATGTGCAGGAAGGGTTTCGTTTCGTGATCTGGGTGCTGCTTATACTGTAAGTTCAGTTTTTGCCCTTTTTTGCATGTACAGAAGACACTTGAATAACGCTGGGTTTAAGGGTACTGACCTGCCCCCGTATAAATTGTCATCCTTCTCATATATGGATTCCCAACTTCAGATTGAAAAGTATATTGTACTTAAGTAGGTGTTTTTTTAATAAATTTATTTCTTCACTTATTTAAAAAAATACATCTTATTTGAGAGGAAGCTGAAAAATACAAAAATGTTTTGAAAAATTTAAATCACCCAAAACCCACTTATGCTACCTCCTCCCCTTCTGCTCCCCAACTATTTACACACACATTTTGCTAAATTAGGCTCATTTCTATTTAGTTTTACTTCTGTTTTTTTTATTTTTACTTGAAATTAATCCTTATCAAATATTCATTGCAAGCATGTTTTTTTTAAGCTGCAGCAATGTATTCCATCAAATGTGTATGTAAATATATACATACATTACACATATAGTGAATATATATATATATATATATATATATATATATATACACTTTTCTAGGAACACTTCCTATTATATCTGATTAGAATATTATCTGTCACACATATGTAGTCCTAGAACAGGAGCTACTGGGTCGTGAACATTTTTTAAGCTCTGCATTCGCCCTCTACTTCCAACCAGAAAGGTTGCATCTATCTCCTAGCAAGGGGTGAGGGAATCTCTCTATCCCAATCCAAACCCAGGTCATTTATTATTATTCCTACTTGTTTTTAAGATATCGGGGCTTACAACAGGACGAAGGAATCTACCCTCCTGCCTCCGGCCAAGGCTCCCCGCAGGAGCCGGCTTCCTCCCAAATCCTCGCTTCCTCCCAGGCTCCAGGCTCAGCACTGGCGCCGGCGGCTGCGCGGTGCGGCTGCGCGCGCCCCGTTGCCTTGGGAACCACACAGCCGCCCCGGTGAGAGGTCCGGAAACCGGGCCATGGAGCTGCCGGAACCGGTCCGCCTGCGGCTGGGGAACTTCAGCCGGACCGTGTTCAGGGACTCAAACCGGACCGACCCCGAGTACAGCGAAGGCCCGGGTGAGTGGCCGCCGAGGCCCAGCTCGGATGTTGCCAGGACCCAAAATGGCGGCCTCGCCTTCAGCGGGCGCCGAGGAGCGGGAGCACCTGGAGGAGAGGCCAGGGCTGGGCCGTCTCAGGTCCCTGAGGGCCGCCGGAGCTGGGCTGGTCGTGCTGAGGCCTGGCCCGCCGATTCCCAGCTGGGCCGCTGAGGTGGAGCTGGCCTAACTCAAAAAATAAAATATGAATGCCATAAAAACCGCCTTCGCAGCTCCTGTCAGGCCCGCGCCCTCTGCGGAGGCGGCCCTGGCTCCGTTAGCCCTGATGGAGGGAATGGCCCCTTCCCAGTCCTGCACCTCAGCCCCCACCCCGGTAAACTGTGTTCTTTACAACTTTCCTAGCAGGACAAGGACGTTTCCGGCGGAAGAGATGGGAAGAAGTTTTTCCAATGAGTCGTTTTAAATCGCTGTGACAGTGGCCACCCTGCATCGCCTCCCGCAGACCGCCTGCTTCCCGCCTTCTCCTGCCCCTCCCTCCCCGACACAGGGCTCTTCCCCAGACCTGCCAGCAAAATGCCCTGGTGCTACAGCATGCAACCTGGCAACAAGTCATAGCCATTTCCTCCAAAGAGTTTCCCCTCCTTAAATCATGATGATGGACAACAGACGGTCAACCACACGCTTTTATCCCCAAACTCTGCAGGAAATGGAAATCTTTTCCTCTTGTCTCGGTTTAGGGATTTTTAAAAGGATCAGAGAAAAGTAAAGTCAGTTTCCATAGTTGTATTTTTCAACGTCATTACTTGCCTGTTCCCCCAAGTTTAGGATGAACAGAAAAAAACAAGACAACAACAACAACAAAAACATAATGTGAGAAATTAGGTTTTTAACTTTTCTGATTTCTAAAGCTAAGGCTTAACAGGCTTTAGAATCTGATGGTGCAAGGTATCAGGTCAGCAAACATTTTCTGTAAAGGGCTAATAGATAGTAAATATTTAGAGTGTACGTGGTAGATCTCTGACAGTTATAGATGATGATAATTAGGTCGACGGCAGTGTTTCAATAAAACTTTATTTGTGGATACTAAAATTTGAATTTTGTAAGAATTTCAGTGTCAAAAAATATTATTCTTTGATCCCCCCCCCCCCCCCCAACCACTTAAAAATGTGAAAAAGCTCACTTGGTATACAAACCCAGGCAGCTGGCTGGTGGTTTGCCTATCTCTGATTTATATTATATTTATGTTTTAATTTAAATTCTATTTACAGAACTCAACTTGTACTTTTGCAAAATTTAGTGAATTCATGTCTGCTTTCAAGGTTCATTTACATATTAACTTGATTTTCAGTTGCATGATTATAAGTTTGATCTGCTGAAATACAGAGCATAACTCTTAAAATGTTATTGTACAAAAATTTTTAACACAAACTTCTTTGCTTTGCAAAATTTGACTACAGTTTCCTCTCTAAAGATACTAAATTTTCAGCCTAACTAATTTATCATTGTTTTTCCACATTTTCTTTGTGGATCTGGAGTAGGTTTACTTGTACTGTAATTACAAGTGTATATCATTACCATGTCCACAGCTGACCAAGAGTTGCATTATTTTTTTAATATATTTTATTGATTTTTTTTACAGAGAGGAAGAGAGAGGGATAGAGAGCTAGAAACATCAATGAGAGAGAATCATCGATCAGCTGCCTCTCGCATACCCCCTACTGGGGATGTGCCCGCAACCAAGGTACATGCCCTTGACCAGAATCAAACCCAGGACCTTTCAGTCCACAGGCCGATGCTCTATCCACTGAGCCAGTTCGATTCCTAGATCCCCAGTAAGGAGCATGGAGGAGGCAGCCAATTGATGCTTCTCTCTCTATCCCTCTCCCTTCTCTCTAAAATCAATTTTAAAAAGATAAACATATTTAAAAAGTAGATCATAATCAGGCATATCCTTGGAGCTGAAGAAAACCTTGCTGTGAGATCATGATTATTCCTTATATTTTTAAATTATTAAATGTTAGATATAAAATACTAAGTTGTGGAGAAAAAGGAAACAGTCTGTTCTGAATTTATTTTAAGAACCTTTGTAAATTCTTGCATTTAGAGCAATTGATTTCTAAATATGTGTCTGTTCCTATTAGTAAATTTAGGATGCAAACATAGGGGTTAGTTTTGTTAAAAACTTTAATTTAGGACCTTTCTCCCTTACACAAAAACAAAATATTATGTCATCAGCCTTATATAAATGAAACTCATGCACCACAGATAGCTACACTGACGATGTCCTTATGACAATGTTTTCATAATTCCTTCTGCTTATGTGTATTTGATATTTACCAGTTTAGAGTAACATGCTAGGTTCTCTGGGGATCTCAAAAGTGGGTAGAATGTGGTCTGTGTTTACAGTGAGCCTGAACATCAGTGAAAGAAAAGGAAAGGGAACATTTACTGAGTGCCTCCTAAGGGCCAGGCATGATGCTAGGGGGAAATAATTTGTATTCCCTCTAATCCTCACAAGCAATCTGTGAGATAACTTGAGTGTTACCATTTTTAAGATGAAATTGACAGACAAAAAGGTTAAATAGCTTATCTCAAGTGTGGCATCCAGAGTTACTGGGGAGTTTGGGGAATTCAGGGTTTACTTGGACTCCAAAGCTCGCGATCTCTTCAGTACACCAGACTGTCTTAAGTGAGGGACGTATGGTGCTTTGCTATGTACACACGTTAGAGTGATAAATACCTGCAAAGGAACGAGATATCTACTGGAGTTGGGGAATATAATCAAGAAAAAGAAATTTATGGGAAAAGTGGCATTTAATTGGGTATTAATGAATGGGTGGGATTTGGGTATGCTGAAAAGGGGTGTGTCTACTTACAATTTGGGGAGATTCTTTTTTATATTTATTTGTAAGAGTAATTTTCTATATTTTATTTTATGTTCTTTACATAGAATTCTACAAAGTTGGTAAGAATAATTATTGTGTCTCAGTAGGATTTATATTGATAGTAATAGCAGACTAATGGCAAAATGCTAAAGTAATTGAAAAGCTTGAAACAAACCCCCAGTAACAAATATATGAACTAAATAATATGATGGTGAATATTTCCTTGTACTGGCAATTGTTATAAAGATGCTTAACATTTGTAATTTTGTTGAGCCAATATGATAGTTTTTCTAGGGCACTGAAGGCTTTATAGGGCATAGACCGGGAATAAGAGTTTATCCCTTTTCTCTCCGTTTCTATTGTAGATAACGAAGTGGTTTCCAGTTTAGCATTGCAGATGTCACTTTATTTTAATGCTTACTTTTTCCCACTTTGGTGGGTGAGCAGCATCATGATGCTTCAAATGAAAGTAAGTCTAAATTTTAATACTTCTGCTAAGGTCTCTTCTGCTCATCCCCTGGCATTGTTACATTCTCAATAAAATCCAGGTTCTTAATATTTTATTTCTTACCAGGTCATTTTTACTATATGTGAGATTTTAAAAGCATGTTTATATTTGTTTTCTTTAGTATCCAATTCTGCCTGATTACTACAAATTCATTGTGGTCACCGTTCTCATCCTCGTAACCTTAATCGAAGCTATCAGGCTGTATCTGGGCTACATGGGTAACCTTCAGGAGAAGGTAGGCTCTCCTTCCCTTTCCTTCAGCGCCGCACATAGATGCAGTAAGGCTTCCACGGCGAGGAAGTGGCAGTGCACTGTGGTGGAAGGAGCAAAGGCCTATAGTTGAGGCCTGGCTCCAAGGTTACTTTTTTTTTTTATATACATATATTTTATAGAGTTTTTACAGAGAGGAAGAGAGAGGGATAGAAAGCTAGAAACATTGATGAGAGAGAAACATCATCGACCAGCTGCCTCTTGCACACCCCCCCACTGGGGATGTGCCCACAACCAAGGTACATGCCCTTGACCGGAATCGAACTGGGGACCCTTCAGTCCCCAAGCCGACGCTCTATCCACTGAGCCAAACCGGTTTCGGCTCACGATGGTCTATTTACTTAATCTTGTTAGCCTTGGTTTCTTCATATGTAAATTGAGAAAAATAAATATATAAATAAATAATAAATAAATAAGATGGAGAAAATATTTACTTCACAAGTTGGTTGGAATTAAATGAAATCCTTATATAATAAAAGGCTAATAATCAAATTGCCCCCTCCACTGAGAGTTTGACCAGGGAGCGGGTCGAACCAGCCAGTCACCTGCAGCCCCTCTCCCCAGCTGGCCCCACCCCTGACCAACCCCTCTGCACCGATTGGGCCAGGCCAGCCCCGGGGAGGGGACATGGGAGGCTCGAGGGCTGGCCAGACCCCACCTGTGCATGAATTCGTGCACTGGGCCTCTAGTAATATATATAAGGTACCTGACCATAGTAAGCACATAAGAATTGATTATTTTCCCTGTTCTCACCAGTCTTGAAAATACTCAGTCAATTAAACATGTTCATTTGGATCCTGAATAAGAAAATGGGAGCCCTGGCTGGAGTGGCTCCGTTAGTTAGAGTGTCATCCTGAGCACCAAAAAGTTTTGGGTTCAATTCCTGGTCAGGACACATACCTAGGTTGCGCATTTAATCCCTGGTTGGAAACCGATGGATGTTTCTCTCTCACATCAATGTTTCTCTCACTTTTTCTCTCTCTCTCGCTTATTCTCCCTCTAAAAACCGATAAAAACATATCCTCCGGTGAAGATTAAAAAGAAAATGAGGAGAAATTATAAACTCATTTACTATGCTGAGCACATGTTGTCTGAATCATCAAGCTACCTAAGCATTTACAGGTAGTTACCAGAGTTTTGGGATAATGCCTAAAGATTCCTAAGGTTTTCTAAAAGGCCCTTCATAATTAGGCCCCACCCAGCCTATCTCACTGTATTTGCTGTTTCCTAAACTAAACGTATTCCAAGCTGACATACTGATTCCCAGTCATGCTCATCCCACATCTTTGCTTAATTACCTTCTTGTGTCTTCCTCCTTCTACCCAGCTTTAAAAGCCTACATCCTGAATTCTTTCACCTGCTCTGATCAGCCTCTTATCTTACATCTTGTAGCACTCGGTCTATATTTCTAAGTGACACATTTAACTATTCACTAAGGTGTAGTATTCTAGGGCTGTCACATAAGTTAGTTTTCTCTTCTAACCTAGACGATAAGTTCTCTGAGGACAAGGACCATGTTATACTGCTTTTGAATGACAGCTCACAATGTAGGTTCACAGTAGTGCTAAGGACTTGCTTATCTGTATGAACAGAAGAGTGTACTTTACTGATCTGATTGCTTTCAATGTGTGTCATTTCAGGTTCCTGAGTTAGCCGGCTTCTGGCTTTTGAGCCTTCTATTGCAGTTGCCTTTAATTCTCTTCTTGCTCTTTAATGAAGGCCTAACAAATCTGCCCTTGGAAAAAGCGGTGCACATTGTCTTCACTACGTTCCTTACTTTCCAAGTCGTGTCTGCGTTTCTGACCTTGAGGAAAATGGTAAACCAGCTGGCCACTCGTTTCCACCTCCAAGACTTCGACCGGCTCTCCGCGAACAGAGGCGGCGTGAGGACCATGAGAACCTGTCTGGAAGAGATTTGACCCAGTGCTGTCCGTGAGGACGGAAAGCTCATTCCAGAAGACTCTGAGGTTAGGGACACGTCAGAGACGTAGCAGGAGAAAAAGGACGAAGCAAGTGTTTGGACCTGTAACGTCTCAAGCTCCAAAAGTCCAAGTGGTAACCGGGAACATGAGCCGAGGTGTTTTCCCCGTCGTGTCTCCCGACGCCCAAGCATGAGGTGCTCGGGCCAGAAGATTAGCAAAAGTGTGGAAAGTGTATTACAGGCAGCTTCAGACTCCCCGCGCGGAGAGGGGAACCGATAGTGGGCTGCCCGTCAGAGCCTGTAGCCCCGGGGTATATGTTTGCTACAAGCCTGCTCCGTGTCTACCTGTGTCGTCCCCTGATGGATTCCCTCTGTTGTTTTTGCCCAGCAAGGGGCCTGCTCCTGTGTGTTCTTTCTCTGTCCCCATGCTGGACTTGCTCTGTTTCTATACGTTCGCACACCTTGTGACTGCAGGCCCTCCCTTGTTTTCCCATGCCTCCTGCTTTGAGTCCAGAAACATTTTATTATCTCTACTTGGTTGGTTGGTGTAGGCTGGCTCAAACTGCCATGTCTGCCCCTGCCTATGCCCCACTGGACCCTGCCTATCTGCCTGCGTTTCAGGTTAACCCTCTCACAAGGTTGAGGGCAGTGATAGACTCTACAGTATGAATGCAAGTCAACCCTACATCCTAGATGATGTCCACCTGATGCCAAATGTCTTCATTTTTTTGTTTTTGTTGGCTTTCTCAGGTTTGCAGATTTCCGTGTTGGCGGTCACAGTTTACCAGCTTTACTATAATATTTCTAGTTAGTAATGTGTATATTTCTTTTAAATTTGTTTTTTTTTTTAATCTTTATTGTTGAGAGTATTACACATGTCCCCTTCTTTATCCCCCATTGCCTCCCTAAACCAAGTTTCCGCATCGTCCCTGGCCTTCACCACCCTATTATGTGTGCACATAGGTAATGTATACATGCATATAAGATCTATGGTTGGTCTCTTCCCACCACCCCCTTCCCTCTGAGATGCCTCAGCTGTCCATATCTTGGCAGTTCATCTGGAGCACGTGGAAATCCTTATCAATATTCTGGTGTGTTAGACTATATTTATAAACAAAGACACCACATTTTCATGCTGCTAGGGTTAAATTATAACTTAGCCTCAGCTGTTATCCTGAGGTTAAGAAGAAAACAAGTAGATTATCATGGCATTTAGGAAATATTTTTATAATAAAATTGTAACTTTCATAAAACCATGTTCAGTATTTATGGTGGTTGTGGTGGTGTGCTAAATGTCTTTACAATACATTATAAAATATTTATGTTAAAAATATTTATAATAAATCATGCTTGTCTTGTACCGTTCTTTTGGGCATGATTTTATTTTTATAGAGTTGCAAAGGATGGAAGGAGGAAAAAATAGAGAGCTTCTATGTAGTAGGCACTATCCAGGGGTCCTCAAACTTTTTAAAGTGGGGGCCAGATCACGGTCCCTCAGAGAGCTGGAGGGCCGGACTATATGAACTACTAATTCCTACTGTAACACCTCGGCTGCGCTCACTGCCCAAAAAACCTGGCGGGCCGGATCAGACTCCTCTTGGGGCCGCATGTGGCCCTCGGGCTGTAGTTTGAAGACGCCTGTAAGCACGTTAACCCTTATGATCTCATCTACTAAATCAGTATTCACTGAAGAACTACTTCATACTCAATAAATTCATATGAGGGTTGATTCAAAAACCAGGTGCCTATTAGTCCATAGCGAGAGCTAAGGTGACCAAAGGGACTATACTCGTGATCTTAATAAGCATGCTCCCTTGCTAACAGGAAAAACATTTAAGGAAATTCAGGTAAGAGCAAATTGTTTGGGTGTATCTGAACATTATTTTTAATTAAGTATAGCATTGTCTTGATGGATATACAGTAGTCTCCCCTTAAACTCTTTATCATAGGTATATGATAAAGTTTATAAATTAGGCATAGTAAGAGATTAGTAATAATAAAATAAAACAATTATAACAATATACTGTAATAAAAGTTATGCAAATGTGTCCTCTTAAACATTGTACTGTATTCTTTTCTCTTGAAAGCACTCATAGCTTCTCTTTGGCATAGCTTAATTGTCAACATCACTACTCTTGCACTCTGGGGCCAATATTAAGTAAAATAAGGGATACTTGAACAACACTGCAATATTAGTTGATCTGATAACTGACTAATGATCGGTAGCATCTTCTGTGTGGAGACACCGGACAAAGGTAAGATTCACATCCCAGGCAGAGGGGGGCAGAGCTAGATTTCATCATGGTGTTTAGAGCAGGGCACAATTTAAAACTCATGGACTTATTTCTGGAATTTTCCATTTAATATTTTCAGTCCATGGTTGACCATGGAAAATTGGAACTGCAGAAAGCAAAACTTAAGATAAGGAAGGACAAATATAATATCTTCTTTACTATTAAAAAAAAAAGTGCCTTTATACTGAGAAATGGTTATAGCTACCTTAAAATTTTTTTTTCTCCAATTTCCCATCTCTGTAATTCATGCTCATCTTAGGTTTTCCATGCTTTGCATTATTTATTTTTATACTGCTTACTTTTTGAAAATGTTTTTACTTCCCATTCTCATTTACACCCTACCAAACTATTTATGCTAATTTTATTGCTGTGGGGTTTTTTTATTACACAATTCAGACACCACCGCCTCCTCTTCCCCAGTCCTCCACATGCACTGGTTGATTAAACTTTTCCTCATACCAAAGTAGTCACTAGGTATACTCCAATAACTTGAAATTCAAAATAGAATTCTGTGTGGAAAGTTTTTTAGAACTTACATTTCTCTGGATTTATTTTCAGATAGGAATTGATGGATGAATCTATAAAAAAAAATATAAAATAAGAACACTAAATTTACTTAACATAAACTAAGGGGATAATAAAAAAAAGACTTTTTAATAATTGTTTCAAAGTTTTATTTTAAATAATGGAGACTCTGACACACTTAAACTTTAATTTAGGATTAAGAGACTAATGGCTAAAATACTGGAGTCAAAAAAATTCAAAGACTATAAAAATTTTGGAAAAATAAATTTGGCCTATTTAAATTCTCCAAAAATGTTTTTGCTAAAACAATATTGCTTAAAATACAAACATAATAAGGGTGGGGTAAAAAATATTAAGAAAGTCAATTGAGAACATGACAAAGTCATTTGTTTTTCATCCAAACAGTAAAACCATGATTTTGTGTTAAGCTTAACCAATATTTGATATTAGAATATACCTATGTAAGCATATGAAAATTGAGGTTGAGAAGATATTTACATGCCAACACACTTGGAATTTAGAATCCATTATTTTATTTGAATAAGTTTGTTTATCCTTCTTAATTCTATTACATCTTTCTCTCTAGGGCTTCATAACACTTTTCTGAACTTTTCTAGTTAGGATGTTGAGCTCCACAAATACTTTGTGTTTCACATTTTCCAAAGTCTTCCTCATCACAAAATAGATGCAAATTTTGTAAATCAGAAAGATCTTTTAAATTGGATTTTAATCAACTTGTTTGAATGTCTAATATGTGCAAGGAATAGTGGAGGGTACAGACAAATAAGATGTGCTCCCATGAGGAAGGTAAAATATTTGTAAGACAATCTTAAGACAAAATAGAAAAGTCTGACTTCACCAGAGAGGTGCACTGAATGAGTTTCTACCTGAGAAGTATCTTGGCTCCCCACATATCTCCCCTCTTTATTCCTAGCTCTTACGTGTGCAGGACTAGTACACTGGCCCTTCATCTTCATCAGTTAGCATTCACTATTCCTCTCATTGTCAGAGCACAGGGAAGATGAGGAGGCAGTTAAACATATATGTTCATTGCAGCATTATTCACAGTGGCCAAGACATGAAGAGAGCCAGTGTCCTTTGATAGAGGATCAGGTCAAGAAGACTACTCGGCAATAAGAAAAGATGCATACTGCCATTTGGGACAACATGGATGGACTTGAAAATACTCAATAAAATAAGTCAGTCAGAAAAAGCTAAGAACCATATGATTTCACTCTGATGTGGATATAAAACTGAAACTCATAGACATAGACAACAATATGGTGGTTACCAGAGGGAAGGGGATGGAGGGACAGCAAAAGGTCAAGGAAGCCAAACGTGGTGATGAAAGATGATTTGGCTTCGAGTGGTGGGCACACACTGCAATATGCAGACCATGTCCCATAGAACTAATACACTTGAAACCTATATGATCTTATTAGCCAACGTCACCCAATAAATTTAATTAAATAAATAAACCCATACACACTCATTGGAACTTGCCTGCCCACACAATAGTGAAAGTTTAATGCCCAGTGGAAAAAGCAGATAAGCAAACCATTGACAGCACAGTGTGATGGGGGCACTGTAGGATTACAGAGAAGAGATTTAGGAAAGATGAGAAATCTGGGAAGCCTTCCTAAACAAAGTTCCACTTGAGATTTGGAGAAGGAATGGGTATTAAGTGTCAATTTCAGTATTAAGAGTCAGAAGTCATGGTGACTGAGCACTGTTTCAGGAATGACATGTGGTCTGATAAAGCCTGGTGGGAAGGGTGCATGAGAAGAAAGGGCACAAAGTAAGGCAGAGAAGCGTAGGAGGAGCTAGTAAGCTATGCCAAAGGTTTAAATATTCTGAATCTCTGAGTGGTTTAAACGTCACAAACAGATTTAGATTTCAGAAAGATCTCTCTCTGAAGACAGTGTGGAGAACGGATTCAAAGGGTTGGACCAAAGGAAGAACTCGATGCAGTAACTTCAGACGGAACACGCTGACCTAGATAAAGTCAGTGGCAGTAAAATAATTTAAGTAGGACCTATTCAAGTTTCAAAATTTTTTATTTTACATTTAAAAATAGGTAGCAAATGTCTTTCCCCAACTAATTCTTTTGGGGATTACACACAACAGTAAAAAAAATGACATACTCATTGTCTTATTGAACACTCCCTCAAATTGTTAGGTTATTAGACTTAAATAGAACTCTGTCTAAAATAGTTTTTATTTTATTTTATAATATATATATATATATATATATATATATATATATATATTATTGATTTTTCACAGAGAGGAAGAGAGAGGGATAGAGAGTTAGAAACATCGATGAGAGAGAATCATCGATTAGCTGCCTCTTGCACACCCCCTACTGGGGATGTGCCCGCAACCAAGGTACATGCCCTCGACCGGAATCGAACCCAGGACCTTTCAGTCTGCAGGCCAACGCTCTATCCACTGAGCCAAACCGGTCCCAGCAATATATTTTATTTGACACTAGAGGCCCAGTGCATGAAATTTCTACACTGGGTGGGGGGAGGGAGTGTGTCCCTCAGCCCAGCCTGCACTCTCTCCAACCTGGGACTCCTCAGGGGATGTCCAACTGTCCAAACTGGCAGTCAGACATCTCTCTCACAATCTAGGACTGCTGGCTTCCAGCCTGATCACCTAACCACTCTCCGCCAGCCTGATCGATGCCTAACTGCTCCCCTGCCAGCCCAATTTCCCCCAACTGCCCTCCCCTATTGACCCAATCGCCCCCAATTGCCCTACCCTGATGGCCCAGTCACCCTTACCTGCCCTCCCCTGCAGGCCTGATTGCCCACAACTACCCTTCCCTGCCAGCCATCTTGTGGGGGCTATCTTTGACCACATGAGGGTGGCCATTTTGTACAGTGTGAGGGTCAATTTGGAGAATGAATGGGTATTAAGATATTACCTCTTTATTATATAGGATAATCTACCTAAATTATTCTTAATTTACAACAGTTAAGATGATAGTTTTTAAAAACAAATTTTTAAAGAAATTGAATCAAGATTTTGAGAGTAAAGAACAGAAATCTATAATTCCACAACCTTAAAAGAACAACTATTAGCAAATGCCATGTTCCCTTGCAGTTTTTACTTTATAAATTCTTTCTAAAAATATTTTTTTTTTATTGATTTCAGGGAGGAAGGAAAAAGGATAGAGAGAAACTTCAATGATGAGAGAGAATCGTCAACTGGCTGCCTCCTGCACACCACACCACACACGGGATTGCACGCACAACCTGGGCATGTGCCCTGACAGGGAATCAAACCCTGACCTCCTGGTGCATAGGTTGACGATCAACCACTGACTGAGCTATAAATGCTCTTTAAAAACATAGTTGTGGCTGAAACCGGTTTGGCTCGGTGGATAGAGCATCACCCTGCAGACTGAAGGTCCCAGGTTTGATTCTGGTTAAGGGCATGTACCTTGGTTGTGGGCACATCCCCAGTGGGAGGTGTGCAGGAGGCACTGATTGATGT